TATATAAAAACGGTGCCACGGGAAGTAAAGCTAAATCACAGCCTCGAAGGCCAAGATTAAATATGAGTAAACGTGCATCTTTTTAACCACTGGAATATTAATAGAATCTAGATTCTTTCCCTACCACATATAACAAAGAATTAGTAATTCCAATGAGAAGCCGGGCGCGGTGGCTCACACCTGTAATCCTAGCACTTTGGGAGGCTGAGGTGGGTGGATCACCTCAGGGCAGGAGTTCAAGACCAGCCTGGCCATCCATCATGAACTCCTTTTTTTTTTTTTTTTTGAGACAGTCATGTTTTACCATCATGGTAAAACCCCATCTTTTTTTTTTTTTTTTTTTGAGATGGAGTTTTGCTGTTGTTACCCAGACTGGAGTTCAATGGCATGATCTCGGCTCACCACAACCTCCGCCTCCTGGGTTCAATCAATTCTCCTGCCTCAGCCTCCCGAGTAGCTGGGACTACAGGCGCCCACCACCCTGTACAGAGAATTTTTGTATTTTTAGTAGAGATGGGGTTTCACCTTGTTGACCAGGATGGTCTTGATCTCGACCTCGTGATCCACCCGCCTCGGCCTCCCAAAGTGCTGGGATTATAGGCGTGAGCCACCGTGCCTGGCCTGAAACCCCATCTTTGAAAAAAAAAAAATTCCAATGAGAAAATGTCTCCTACTTTCATCCTATTAATGCTCATAGAGTATTTCTAATATTTCCACTTCATTGAGTGTTTCCTTTCTTTGTTTCTTTTATTTTTCCTTTTTCCTTTTTTTAAGAGATGTGGTCTCACAATGTTTCTCAGGCTGGTCTCGAACTCTTGGCCTCCAGTGATCTTCAGCCTCCTCACCCAGCTCAGCCTCCTGTAGCCACATTACAGGTGTAAGCCACTGTACTGGGTGTGTGTTTTTCCTCTTACTGAAACCAGAGAATCTCAGCATCTATTGATCTTTTGGTAGTGTGAGATTTTAAAAGAAATCTATCATTTCTTTAATTGAAAACTGAAATAATAGAAATCCTGCAGTCCTTTGTATTATTAATTTCACTATAATTCATGAATATGCGATGGTGGAGAATTACTTTGATTGAGATTTCTTGGTTTGGTCCAGGAGCAGAACATCTGTTTAACTGACAGTCTCCAAATTGTTCTCTTCCCTATCCCCAAATAGTGTTTGCTGCCTTTTAGTTTACATTTATATATTTAAGACATTAGGAATTACTTTGAGAAAAGAGCATCGGCCTCTTGATTAGCAGGGGGTAAAATATATAAAGGAGGGAGGTGTTTTCAGCATTACCTAGAAAACCAGTACTTACAGTACCCTAGATAGAAGACAAGTCGTCACAAAGAAGTCAACTCTTTATTCTCTTGCCTTGATGCCCTTGGGAAGTTATCCAGGCTTGGATCATTTCCCTACTGGGCAAATGAAAAGAGTAGCATCAAACAGTCTCATATGAATGTTGAACAGTTCCAATCATGAATGACTTATAAGACAGTCTGAAAGGCACAAACATTTTAAGATGCTAATTATTTAAATTATTATAATAAACTGGACATGTCAGACAGGGTCAGGTCTCTATCACTTATAATGGTACAAATTGATTGGTTAACTAATTATGGGTTTAGTTTCGAAACAGTAAGTTTTTTTGGAATGATATTTTTTAATGTTGTGGATAGTGAATACTTTGAAAACAGCCAACATTATTGTCACTAAAATGTTTGGAATATTTAGTGGACTGCATGGATTTTTCAAATCAAAAATATTTAAAAATAAAGAATAAATAAAAAACTATAATGGGACCATCAGTTTATGTTTAGAACAGTGCATGATAACCTAGATACAATTCCTAGAGACTTTTTACTGATTTTGTTGTGACCTGGTCAAATTTTTAATCTTTTGCTCATTTTTTTCCCCCAGGAATAAAAGAGGAAAAACAGAGAATACTGTCAGTTTAATAGTTTTTAAAGCTTGAGTTTCTTAGGTGAGTTATTATGAGATTTCAAAGTATTATTAACATAATCTATTTATCTCTAGAGACTTTACAAATACAAATTATCTTTTATGAAATAAGTTAAACACATATTATTAGGACCATTTGGAAATGAGTCGTCTCTGAAGCTAAGTGGCCATAGAGATCACAAAGCATTTCTGTATCAAAGCAGGACTGGAATGAACGATGCTTAACTCCTTCTTTAAACATTGTTAGCTATTTACTCATGTGGGCAGGTATCTTGAATTTTTTTAATCATAGATTTTCTCTAATACTTTTTAAAAAAAATGTAGGTATACTCTAGTTCTTTTTCCTTCTGGAAGTGGAGGATAGATTATTATTTTTTTTTTTTGAGGCGGAATTTTGCTTTTGTTGCCCAGACTGGAGTGCAGTGGTACAATCTCGGCTCACTGCAACCTCCAGCTTCTGGTTTCAAGCGATTCTCCTGCCTTAGCCTTCTGGAGTAGCTGGGATTATAGGTGCCCGCCACCACGCCCGGCTAATTTTTTTTTTTTTTTTTTGTATTTTCAGTAGAGACAGGGTTTCACCATATTGGCCAGGCTGGTCTCAATCTCCTGACCTTGTGATCTGCCTGCCTCAGGCTCCCAAAGTGTTAGGATTACAGGTGTGAGACACCACGCCTGGCCTGAAATGGAGGATAGATTTCACAAATTCTCTGGGCCACTTCAGTCTACACATTTCTTCCCTGAGGTTATTTTATTCATGGCAAGAAACTGGTATTTGGGTGTATATAATCGATCGTTTCTTGGTAATCTACTAGGTAGTAGAACATTACATGATGTGCACACATATTTTAGGCATTCAAAATGAATTAAGCTTCATGGAGTGTTGCTGTCTCCTTATTTCAGAATAAAGTTTTTCATTACATTATCTTATTCTAATGATCGCATGCTAATTTCTCCCATACATGTATTGTTCAGTTTCAAGTATGCTGTTGTTTAAAATTCACATTCTATATTTCTGTTAGATAACCATTTTTTTACTTGAACTTGAATGAGGTTTGTTTTGTTACTGGATTTCTAGTTTTTTGTTTTGTTTTTGTTTTTTTTCTGAGAATCAGATTCTGGTATACTAAGTCCTTCCACAAAATGGCTTCCCTGGTTTGGTTTGGGAAGAAGGAGGTACTGATGTCTCTGGTAATCTTACATGGATTGGAGTGAGCTTGCATGTAGTTTCTTTATCCCTTCTCTTGTTAGAAGGAAGGTGGAGGCATAAGGTTCTCACTAGCATGGTATTATTTCATGGTGAAGCACACAGACTCTGAGCCATTCTGTGTGGGTTACACATTTCAGCACTTTCAGTTATTAGCTGTGTGATCTTGGGCAAATTACTCAACCAGTCTCTGCCTCAGTTTCCTTAACTGTAAAACGAGGATGATAACAGTGCCTATCTCATATGGTTGTTGTGAGGCTTAAATCATGCTTAGAACAGAGTCTAGCACCTAGTAAGTGCTGGTTATCAATTATTGACTCTCCTGGCAGTCATGTTTAAAGGTCTTGAATATTGGCCTGGTTTTAGAAGAAATAATTTATTCCCTGAGTTATGGTGAGTTGGTGGTCAGGCATCTCAAATACTTTGAAATCAGAGCTAAGTGTTCAAAAATTTATAAAAGACAGACTTTTAGTATTAGCATTTACTCTTAGTGTTGTATATTCTATGGATCTGGAAAATGTATAATGACACGTAGCCATTCTTATGGTATTATCCGGAGTATTTTCACAGCCTTAAAAATCCTCTGCATTCTGCCTATGCATCCCTCCCCTCTAATTCCTGGCAGCCACTGACCTTTTTACTATCTCCATAGTTTTGCCTTGTACAGAATGTCCTAGAGTTGGAGTCACACAGTATGTAGCCTTTTCAGATTGTCTTCTTTCACTTAGTAACATACATTTAAGGTTCCTCTGTGTCTTTTAATGGCCTAATAGCTCATAGCTTTTTAGCACTAAATAATATTCTATTGTCTGGATGTACCACACTTTATTTACCCATTCACCTACTCAAGGACATCTGGGTTGCTCCCAGGTTTTGGCAATTATGAATAAATCTGTGCACAAAAACTCTGTGCACAGGTGTTTGTGTAAATATAAGTTTTCACTCTTATGTGGTAGGATGTTTCCTTTTCCTAATTTTGATATGAGGATATATGATGAGAGGACCCGTTGATTAAAAAGTTAGGTGAGAGGGTATCTGCCTTACATTCACCTAGGTATTATTACATGCATGTGGGAAAGAGATGGGGAAAGACAGTTTGAAAGTGATTGTGCTTCAACTGTATTGAACCAGTTCTGCAGAGTTAAAGTAATAGGGTACTGGTTCCAGAGGAAAACAGGCTATTTCTGTTATGGGATTGGTGTAGGGGAGTCAAGTCTCTCACCCACAAATAAACCTCTGGAGGGTTTTCTGCTGAGTTTAACCTCCTCCCACTCCCAGGCTTGAAATCAACTCATTAATGGTAAGTGCTGATATCATTGCACTAAAAGTTACATTTGACTTAGGAGCCACATAGCTCTGCAGTTTTGGATGGCAAAAATGACACAGAGAACTTGTGAATCCCTACCCTTATGATGGAGTGCTCAAGATTATGAATTAGACACCCACTGGAATTCTCCCATTAGCCCTGTCCTCACAGTTCTCTTTTTCCCTTTCTACCTTCAAATATCACCATTTATAACCTTTCTTTTATTTTGAAGGATGTTTCTGATTTTTCAGTTTCTTATTTCTACTTCTGTGAGCATATTGACCTTAGGGACGGGATCTTATTAACTGTTTTATCCTCATTAGCTGGCACACAGCATGTGCTCAGTAAGTACTTTTCATACTGAGACAAGGGAGACAAAATTTTACAGAGAAGTGAAAAAGACTCCAACTGGTTTACATGTTAAACTTACTCCCAACTTGTGAAGACCACTGAATTAAACAGAAGAAATTAAAGACAAGATTCAGCTCCCATTGGAGGGTATATTTAAATGCAAGGATTGACCAGGACCAGGGAAGATGACTTGCAACAGGAAGAACCTTTATTGAAACACCACCATAGAGAAAAAGCCCAAGAAATGGTACTATTCTAAAAATAACTTGTCCTAATTTATTGGAAGAAAAGCAGAAAAATAAGGGAGATCTTCTTTAGGAAACTAGTTTCATTTTGGTATTTTAATTTGGGGGGCATTCTTTCTCAGAGGCTGGAGTTCAGGAAGGCACCCTCTGTTCATTCTTGTTGACTTTGGTGGATTTCTCTTCCACGGTGTGAACTCTGGATGAGAGAACTTTGCCACGAGGATCTATTTCTTCCACAACTGTTTTGACAATGGTGGTTTTAGATGAATCTAAAATGCCACATATAAACTCTTAGAATTTATCAAATTTATAAATAGGAAATAACTCATCATTTGAAACACATACAAATACACACTGAATGCCTGACACAGCTTTTGCTTACCTTTTGTCTGATTTCCTTGGCCTCTGTAACCTTTTGATTTAGAACAGGAACTGTAAAAGTACAGAGTGCTTATATTAATTATTTCATTCCGTTTTACTGAGGAAACCGAAAACAATGATTTAAGGTGGGAATTCACTGAATTCTGAAATAACGCTAAAAGTTTTTATCTACACATGGTCTAGATCATAAATATTTTATACTTGATTTCAAATAATCTTTAGTAGCCTTAAAAATAAATTGTTTTCTCAATGGCAGCAATACTGACCCATCTTCTCCATCTATCAGGAGGCAGTAGGTCTCGATTTCTTTTTCCAGGTAGATCTTCACATCGAGGAGCTGCTCATACTCCAGCTTCTGGCCCTCGGTCTCAGTTCTGACCTGGTGCAGCTGCTCCTCCAAGGCCACGATCTGAGCCTGGATCTGCGCTAGCTGCGCGCAGTAGTTACTCTCCGTCTCTGTCAAGGAGCACTCCAGGGAGTGTTTCTGTAGTTTGGTAAGACATGGGTTAATAGAAAAGGTCACAGTATTTTAGAATAAGCCAAAGCATTTAAGAGGTAATTAAGACAATTATCCTTACATCATGCAAATAATTATATTTACCCCAAAGATTCCATTTATTCAATATTAATCATTGCCTTTACTAAATGTCATCCTACTTTTCTATTTGAAAATGACACCGCTGGTGCTGAACGTTCCTCAGATACCCAGGTGTGCTAAAAAAGATGCAATTGTCTCTTCATAGGGCACAGACTAAAAGATCCCTCCCCTGCACCAATATAGCCTGTGCTTGTTGAGTTCGGCACAATTTGCCACTTTCCCCACAACTAGAAGTCCGCCTACACTTTGCTACCCATTTCTATTTGTGTTACAGTCTTGTCATATGAGGACTGAAGCTCTTCTATTAAAAAGCCATCCTGCAGTGAACTGCTTAAACTTCCCATGAGTAGAATAAACCACAGAAAAGAATTACCTTCGTAGGCTTTAAATACAGTAGCTCAATTCATTGGCTTGTGAATCTGAATGGGATTATAGAGCTACACAGAAGGAACCCCCACTGCAATTTTACACGGAATGAAGATAAGAGTGTCTTATCCTTTCATCAGCAAGTATTTTTTATATAAAGCCTTGATTTTATACACATTCATAGCCTCATCAGTGGATAAACGCTGGTGGTTTACTAGCCATAGAGGGAAAAGTATAGATCTGGGAGTTAGAAAATTTGGAGAGAACTTCTGATTCCTTCCTATCCAACTGTGGGACCATGGGAATTAATTGCTTAACTTCTTCGAATCTCAGATTCCTCCTTTGGAAATAATGACATGAGTTATGATGTCTGCCCTACCCGTGCCCTGGGGTTGTTGTAGACTCATGTGGGCGGAAGTGCTGGGCAAACCCTTTGAAAGCAGTTATGATTAACATTACACATGCTTAGCTTTAGAGTCAGCCTTCGTGCCTCTACTTTGCCTCTTGTTTATGCCACTTACAAAGGAACTTTTAAGTGTTCTTAATTAAGTGGTCTAAAGGAACGCTAGATGAAGCTAGGAGTAGTGCAAATGTATTTTTGCTCTCTTTAAGCAGTAGGATTTTTTCTTTTTCAAAAAATGGACACATAAGAATTGTATATATTTATGGGGTTCATAATTCTATTTCAAAACACACAATGTGTGGTGATAGAATCAGGACAATTACCGTATCTGTGGCCCCAAACACTTATCTTTTTTTCTTGTATTGGGAATATTCAAAACCCTCTCTTTGAACTATTTGAAAATATAGAATAAATTATGCTTAACCGTAGTCATTCTGCAGTGCTATGGAACACTTGAACGGATTCTTCCTGTTCTGCTGTAATTTTGTATCTGTTAACCAACCTCTACCTATTCCCCATCCCCTTCCCAGTCTCCAGTAACCTCTATCCCACTCTCTCCTTCTATGAGACCAACTTTTCAAGTTTCCACATGAGTGGTTTTAGATATTTTGACTTAGGATAGAAGATTCAAAGTCAAAACTATTTTCTTTTTGCAATATCTCTATCGTATTTGCTAATTTCTAATGTTTCATCATTATTAGCATCCAGGTATACTTTATAGGCAAAGAGGATTGTCATGTGCGAAATGCAAATGTGTCTTATGTCAAGCACTGTAATTAATGGCTAAAAACTAAAATATGTAATATTATGTTGGAAGAAAATTCTCTTCTATTTTTTTTCTCAAGTTCTAAGCAAATCTGTTGCATAACTTTTCGCTTACTGTTGCTAAGAGGGACTGAAGTTCAATCTCCAGGGTTTGAAGGGTGCGTTTCATTTCGGTAAGCTCATTCCGGGCTGAGGTGGTGGCACCAGCGTCGTCAGAGATCTGCTGCTGCAGCGAGGCGCTCTGGAACAGTAGGGGCCGCGTTAGGGCGCCGCTGGCTGCGTCCGTGCGCGGCGCCCTCGGAGCGCACCTAAGTGTGGTTTTACCTTCTCGTTGAACCAGGCCTCCGCGTCCCTGCGGTTCTGCTCTGCAAGGGCCTCGTACTCGGCTCGCATGTTGTTCAGCAGAACAGTGAGGTCCACCCCGGGGGCCGCGTTCATCTCCACGTTCACGTTGCCTCCAGCTGCGCACTGCAGAGCTTTCATTTCCTGAAAGATATTTGTTTAACGAAATTAGGATCTGAATATTTTATTTGTTTCGTTTTTTGAGTTAGGGTCTCGCTCTGATGCCTAGTGTGGAATGCAGTGGTGCGATTACGGCTCACTGCAGCTTCGAACTCCTGGCCTCAAGCGATCCTCCAGTCTGGGTCTCCCACAGCATTGGGATTATAGGCGTGAGCCACCTCGTCTGGCCTGAATATTTTTAAAGGAGCCAGGTGGACAAGATCTATAGGATTAGAACCTTTTTGGGAGATTTGTTTCTTTTGAGCAGGATGAACAGCAGCACCTCAAACAATCTAAGCCATATGGAGAAACTGACAGGTTCCTTCTTGAATGTTAATTTATTATATTTATCATCTGAAATTAATTTTAAAATTTGGGAGAGAGGGGACTGTGAGAGCCAGCCGGGTAGAGCCTCTACCTCCTCATGATTCTTCTTGAGGTAAGCAAGCTCCTCACTGAGAGTTTCCAGCTGGATCTCCAGGTCCGTTCTGCACAAGGTCAGCTCATCCAGGACTCTGCGCAAACCGTTGATATCCGCCTCAACGCTCTGATGAAGCGCCAGCTCATTTTCAAACCTTAGAAAAGTATTTGAAAGTTTCATCACTGGTCATTAGGCACAGCACATTACTTTTTGGATCATCACACAACTCAGACTAAGCTTTGAGGTAAAACTACTAAAATAATACTTAAAACTTCAGTCAGGTCACTCATCATGCAATAAATACATTTCTTTGAAGCAAGAGAATGGAAATAGCCAAAATTCTCTCTCATATGACTTTGACATTCATTCATGTTAGCCTACAAATTTCCCAAGTAAAATGTGTTGCTCAGCTAGTGACTCATATGCATTTCGTTTAAAACAAATACATGAATAAACAAGAACAAAGAATGAGCCAACCTCAAATAACTCAGAAGAATAAAGGAGAAAAAATGCTTAGACAACTTTTTTTCTGTTTATCTTCAGCTCTACTTACTTGAGTCTGAAGTCATCAGCTGTGAGTCTTGCATTGTCATTTTGCAGGACAACATGGGCATTACTTGTAGTTGCAGAAATTATCTGACAAATAGAATTAGTTAAGATTGAGGAAATATTTAAGACACATTTCAAAGTTCCTTGAAATAAAATTGTATATGAAATTATAGTAATATTTCTGGCATCTGTTTCTCATAATCAGACGAGTCTTTTGAAGATGGGAAATTTAAGTATGGTCTCTCTCTCTCTGAAATGGAATCTTGCTCTGTCACCCAGGCTGTAGTGCATGGCACGATCTCGGCCACCGCAACCTCTACCTCCCGGGTTCAAGTGATTCTCCTGCCTCAGCCCCCCAAGTAGCTGGGATTATAAGTACATGCCACCACACCCGGCTAATTTTTGTAGTTTTAGTAGAGATGGGGTTTTACTATGTTGGCCAGGCTGGTCATGAACTCTTAACCTCAAGTGATCTGCCGGCCTTGGCCTCCCAAAGTGCTGAGATTACAGGCATGAGCCACTGTGCCCGGCCAAGTATGGTCTCTTTTATTCCCCACCCCAATCATAAAAAAAGGTCTTTCTATAAGAAAGCCTATAAATATATAGGTAGAGACATGGGGCAGTTTTTGATATTTTACTATTACCAAAATCATACACACATACCCAATACCACATGATGGGTGTGCCATGTTCAAATATTAGAATTTATTAGAAATTATTTTTAATATTGAAAATGAACTAAAATTTAGAAGCTGAGGGCAAAGCCCTGTTATTGTGACAACTTATACATTTGTGCATCCGTGAGTGGTTAAATACCCTCAGGAGTGCTAAGACTCATGCCACGGTGTTTCTTACCTGGTTCTTAAGGTCGTCAATAATTGGGAAGTATCTGCTGTAATCATGATCAAGGCCGCGGCAAGAACCGGGTCCAAATTTCTCGTACCACCCCTTGATCTTCTGCTCCAAGTTAGCGTTGGCCTCCTCTAGGGCTCGAACATTCTCCAGGTAGGAGGCCAAGCGGTCGTTGAGGTTCTGCATGGTCACCTTCTCATTGCCAGAGAGAAGGCCATGCTCATTCCCTGTGAAGGCAGCACAGGAAACACCTCCCGCACCCAGACCTCCACCATAGCCTCCTACAGATGAGCTGCCCCCAAAAGCGCAAGAGAAGCCACTTCCAATGGCTGGCACAGTGCACGTGTTTCCGGCCCCAAAGCCTGCTCCCCCACTAGAGAGCCTCACAGAGCCAGTGCCTCCACAAGAGCCAAGCCTTCTGGATGTGGAAGAAAAGCGCACAGACATAGTGCCCAGGCTAGAGTGTTTGTTTCTGCGGTGATGCTCTGATGGTGAACCTCCTACTCAAGCATCTTGGTTTGCCTTTATATACACACTATTAGGGTGTTCCTTGATGAGCTTTGCTCATAGCAAAATGGTGTTTGCCAGCTCATTGTGAATTATCCATAATGGGGTGTTTTTTTTTTTAATGAATGGCTTTACCGTACTGTGTCCATTTCTGTAGGTGGATAGTTATCATGGGGTTATTTGTTATCTCTGGAGTTGGACAGGGTGGAGTATTATCAGAATTATTATAGTGATGCATTTCAAATTTAGTATGAGTAACCCTTCCTGTCTTCCAGGCATCAGGAATGTGTAATACCTATAAGACTAAAAAAGTATGATAGACAGATTTCCCTTTTCCTTGCCCAAATCAGCATTGCATTTTCTTTGGCAATGAAGTATCATAGTCATAATTTTCTATCAGATGTGTTGAAAATAATTTCAAGACCGTGTGTCCATGGTACCAGAAGAAGGAGGGGAGGTCCTAAAGGAGAACTGAGGCATTAAAAGAAATCTTCTATGGAGGCAGAAAGTGTTCCTTTGATCCTTATCCTTCCTGAATTTCCATTTCATCTGTACTGGTTTTCCATCAAAGTTCGGTTGCTAACCGGGTTAAGTAAAGGAATTGGTTGCCTCCTTGGGCCTCAGTTTCCACATCTGTACAGTGAAGGGTCTAGACTGTGGCCTCTATATTCCCTTTCTATCTCTGGATTGCTCATATTTCTGCACTCCTTCTGTTCACTGTCCATTTCCATAGCACTTGTCTGCATTACTTCCTCTGCTTTTCACCTCCTACTTATTTCTGAACTGTGGTCCCACCATTTTACTGAAATTAACCTCTTAGACATCACTGCACATCTCTAATCATCATTTCTTTGATTTATTCTCCTATACCCTCTTGGTTACGTTCAATACTGACTACCTCAGTCTGATCAGTCTGATTGAGTTTCCGATGGTTGCTTTGTGAGAATTTTTCTACACCTCGTGTTGCTCCCCTTTTCTCTTCCACTTATAGCTTCTGTGCCCTACATTTGTCATTTCTTACAGTTTTGTGCTTGGTATTCACGATTCTTTTTTTTTGAGACAGGGTCTCGTTTTGTCACCGAGGCTGGAATGCAGTGTGTGATCATGGCTCACTGCAGCCTCAACCTCCCAGGCTTAAGGGATCCTCCCACCTCAGCCTACCAAATATCTGGTATTACAGGCACACGTCACCATGCCCTGCTAAGTTGTGTGTGTTTTTTTTTTGTAGAGACAGGGTTTGCCATGTTGTCCAGGCTGGTCTTGAATGCCTGGGCTCGAGATCCTTCCACCTTGGCCTCCCAAAGTGCTGGGATTATAGGCATAAGCCACCTCACCTTCTGAATGTAGGTTTTCCCTCACTGCCTTGTCCATTCTTTTTTACTGCTTTCCTCTTTTCCATCTCTTTGCCTTTGTTCATGTTGTTCTTTCCACCTGGTTTTCTTCTTCAGACTAAAAATTATAATGAATCATTTGAGATCTTGTATTTGCCAAGAATAATTGACATCACTTTCAATTATCTAGATTGAAAATGAAGTTGGCAAAAATATAAATTTTTATGACTTAACAAATGAGTTTGCAGAAAAAAAGCCAGAAAGGTTTGTCAATCAATTGAATACATTATTAAAGTATTGTGGTTTATTGTGTTATATAAAATTAGGACACCAAAACATTATTTATTTGACATTTATAGTTTATGGTGTCATATATGTGTCCAATTACCTCATTACGTGTTATAAACAATAAGACATTTTTAAAAGAAAAATATCTATGTTTTAGTATTTCTTAATTGTTTGAGACAGCGTCTTGCTCTGTCACCTAGGCTGGAGTGCAGTCGTGTGATCTCGGCTCACTGCAACGTCCACCTCCTGGGTTCAAGCGATTCTCCTGCCTCAGCCTCCCAAGTAGCTGGGATTACAGGTGCCCGCCATCACACCTGACTAATTTTTGTATTTGTAGTAGAGATGGGGTTTCGCCATGTTGGCCAGGCTGCTCTGGAACTCCTGACCTCAGACTGCCCACCTTGGTCTCCAAAAGTGTTGGGATTATGGACGTGAGCCAATGAGCTGGGATTATTTTAGTATTTCTAACTGAACTTTTTTTTCTGACTTTTTAACAAGAGCTCTCACATTTTTAGTTTGCACTGGGCCTTGTAAATTATGTAGCCAGCCCGGATTGTTGGGTCTCTCTGAGGGAGCTGAAGAATCTTAGAGAAAAGACCTCCAGATACAAATGTTTGAGTGTTCTTCACAAAAGGGAAGCTCACCACACAACCACTCTGGAAGGAACTACAGACACTTACACACAAAGCTTCCAGATGTTTAAGGCCTTACTCATTCAACATGAACATAATTTAAAATATCACCATATATTGAGAAACACTCGAACAAGAAAGACAGAGACTCAAACAAACAAAAACAGGGGAAACAGAGGTAATAAAGAACCTGGAAGAAAACTTTTAAAAAAGAAACTACCTATAATTATTACTTTCAGAAGTAACAAAAATACTGTATATTTAAAACATGGATAGAATATCATTAAAATTGAACAGGATGCACATAAAAGGCCTCTTAGAATTAAAAACAAACTCCCAAAATAAAACTTCAATAGATGAGTTGGAAAATAAATTTCTAAAAAATTTCCAAAATTAGATCAAAAAGATAAAAAGATAAATATGTGAGCCTTGAAAGAGCCAATCTCTCTTTCTCATTTTTTTTTTTTTTTTTGATATTGAGTCTCACTCTGTCACCCAGGCTGGAGTGTAGTGGCACAATCTCAGCTCACGGACTGCAACCTCTGCCTCCTGGGTTCAAGCGATTCTCCTGTCTCAGCCTCCCAAGTAGCTGGGATTATAGCCATGCGCCACCATGTCTGGCTAATTTTTGTATCTTTAGTAGAAATGAGGTTTTGCCACATTGGCTAGGCTGGTCTCAAATGCCTGACCTCAATTGCATAAGAAAGAGGCATGAGAGATAAAGACATGTAGGAAACAGGGTTAAACTAGTTAGAAAACCATTCTTCTAACTTTAACTAACTCTAAACTAAGGGTCCTCCATGAATTCTGAAGGGAATGGAACAGCCTAGATCCTGTGAATTCTCAAAACTGACCAGCCATGGTTCCCTCCTGGGAGAGCAACCCATGATGAGGAGAAACTGCTGGGGGAAGGATTAAAATTGGTCAGGAGAGGGTCACAGAGAGGAAGGAAACAAAAGTTCTAGATACGACTGGGGGAGGAAAAAAGAGATAGGAAGTTTCAGAAATCAAGTCAACGTTATTTTTGAATCCTAGAAAAAAACAAGAGAAAAGGGAGGTCTGTGAAGTTTGTAAAGCTATCTGGAATTATACTTTATTCTTTTTTTTATTTTTTTGAGATGAAGTCTTACTCTGTTGCCCAGGCTAGAGTGGAGTGGCAAGATCTTGGCTCACTGCAACCTCTGCCTCCCAGGCTCAAGTGATTCTTCTGCTTCAGCCTCCAGAGTAGTTGGGATTACAGGTGTGTACCACCATGCCCAGCTATTTTTGTATTTTTAGTGGAGAGGGGGTTTCACCATGTTGGCCAGGCTGGTCTTGAATTCTTGACTTCAAATGATCCATTTGGGGATCATTTGAAATAAAGAAAACAACAAGAAAACAACAAGCAAACAAACTTAAAAAAAAAAAAAAAACAAACCCCAAACCCAAAAGAAAACCCAACATCAAAACAACAAAATCCAGGATAAGTTGAAAGCATAAATGCAGATGCAAGGAAACAGCTTGATATTTTAGTGCCTTTAGGTGATACACTTTTCCTGATTGTTGAACAAGGAACCCCATGTTTGTACTTGGCACTGGGTCCTGCAAATTATGTAGCTGGCCCTGTATAGTGTACATTTGGAAATTATTTCCCTGCGAATTTCTAGTGTTTGCTTCATTTGATGGCTGTTGGCTGAAGATTTTGTAAATATCCCACTCTTCACCACTTCTCTGAATCCCATGTGACTGTAGTGAGATAGAATTCCTTCTCTCACTGGAGCTTTTCCCTGGAATCAGGCCATATACCAGAGAAATAAAGGAGCTGCTTTCCTTTTAGGCAATTTAATATTTGTTGGGAATTCCTACTGTACATTTTGATCCAGGAAGATAGAAATAATCATAATCACAAGAATCATGATGTTCAATCTCAAGAGGTTTCAAGTTGAAGAACAGGTGTTGGTGAGTTAAATTTGGCCGGCCATGTGTTTTTGTATAGACAGTATACAAAAATGTTTTTGTATAGCTAGGACTGGTTCTACATTTTTAAATGGTTGAAAAAAGTTAAAAGAAGAATAATATTCCATGACAGGTAAATATATTTACAATTCAAATTTCAGCCTTCATAAATAAATTTTTATTAGAACATAATCATGTTCACTTGTTCATCTATTGTCTATGGCTGAGGTTTGTAGTTGAATAGAGACCTTATGGCCTGCCATGCCTAAAATATTTACTATCTGGGTCTTCACAGAAAAAACTCTGACTCCTGTTCTAGGAAAAGTATCACCAACACAAGTCATATCACTGTGGATTTTTCCGGAGATTATCCTGTTTAAACGAGGAATGGTATCCTGCGTAATGTGGTTAGAAGAGTTTGAGAGAGGCTCTTGGTAAAATACCAGGAATGCGTCATCTAGTGGTGAGACTTTTCAGTCACAGGAGAATTTCTGAATTTTTTGATTATTTGCCCATGTATACATGGTGTGATTTAAAGATTATGCCTAGGGAATGTTTAATATTCAAATGCCATGTGGTGGTATTGACTATTATTTAAAACAACAATGAAAGGCAATTAAAACATATTCCACAGATGTTTCCCTATGAATTAGACATAGAAAAAAATCACAGGTAATTATGTATTGGTCATCACTGAATGGAAATGGATGCATATCAACTTTTTTATTTATTTGAAACAAACAACCAACATCCTGTAAAACTAAGAAAACAGATATTTTTGCTAAGTAACTTATCTTTAAAAGTAAAAA